TCATATTTCAGTGTCCAGCAGCCCTGGGTATACTAATGCAATGGGAGACCTCATTGCTTCTCCCGCTTGATGTGCTCACGATCGTTGCGGTTGTTCGATGGGATGTGTCAGGCTAGTTTGTGTTTTTGGTGGTTGACAATCGTTATAGACATTCGGTGACTAGTACTCGCCAGAACAAAATTCTATTTGGTTCACTCATTTCTTCTCGCATCAGGCGCTCTCCCCTGCCAAATTCCTTAGTGTGGGTGAAATTTCAACCAAATTTTGCTGTGGTAGTAAAGACATCGCACATCTTTCCGATTGGCAAACACCTTTCCAATTCCGCACTTCACAGAGCAGTGGCCAATCCATCTCCAAAAAACCCAGCGACAGAAGTGGTAGATGAGATTATCATGTGAAAATCGAATTCTACGTATTTCTACTGCTCATTTGATTCGCGAAATATGGGCGGATTATGTATGGCCATTCTTGTTTTCTTTTTGTTGACCATACCCTCAAATAATAGTGCATTAAGTGAAGTAGAAGCAGGTGTGGAGCTGGTATCACACAGCACTTGGTCGGTTGATAGAACTGTACTTGTGTTGATCGCTTCAGAAATATTATCTAGAAGCTCTGTTGCCATTAATACCGATCGTCGGTAACACGACGATGCAACTCAACATGAAGACCTGTTCTAAGCTCTCGAATGCCGTCTACCTGTTTATTTTTCCTTAAAGGACCAGTCCTCACGTCTACTGGGTGGATCCCAGCCTTTCTCACATTCGATTCGTTTTCTTGTATCCATCGTCCACGAATATCCTCCAATTTAACGCACAGCTTCGGTTGCTGCTTGAGGTTTCACATTTTATCTTGTGTGCTGTAGAATGCTTTTAGAACAATTCTTCCTAACGTTGTGAGATAGCCGGGTTGGAGCGTTTCCATTTGGATTGCATAGAATGATTTTCCCTAGACAAGCCCGGTACTAATTTTTTTACGTCGGAGGAATGGGAGGCTTGGTTGGAATGGAGCGGAATCGAACGAGTACCATGCTCGTCATAATGGACGTCACTACCGTTGTGCTATACACCCCAGCAACTCTAGCTATAGTTAACTCATTTTGTTACACCTTTTTATTTTCTGCCTACTATAATTTCGCGGCAGGACACTAATCGAAAACCAACCACAACGTTGCTGCGATATTTGCAAAACTCTGGACCGTATGTGTCTGTGGTGGGGAAGGAACACGCTATTGTCCGGGGAGTAGCGCGTTCAGCGGAATTGATCTGACGGGTGATTGCTGTGGCAAAGATCGTTAGAAATAGCTGAGAGACAGGCGAAACAAAGGACCCGCATGGTGTGGTGATGAACGCGCTACTCCCCGGAAAGGACAATAGCGCGTTCGTTCCCCACCATAGACACCTACGGTCCAGAGTTTTGCAAATATCGCAGCAACGTTGTGGTTAACTTATTTATTTGCTGCCTATTATAATATTTCACGGCAAGCTATTACGTCTAATACAATTACAATGATGTTATGATAGTTCCCAAGATCGACTTTCTCTTAACCTCGGCATTGGAATATGAATGTGTCGTTTTCTTGTTCAGCAATCGCGAGGTTTTTAAACAGCATACATTTACTTCCATAAAAACACAATACAATACAACGCTAGCTGACGTTTCGGCAGTATCGCCTTCTTCAGAGCCGCTTTTTTTTTTCTTTCTGTTATGATATTTTGAATCAGATGTTATGATATTTTAAAAACCACGGACCGCATGTGCTTGCAATGGAGAACGAACGCGCCATTACTTCTTCCGAGATCTAACGCGTTCACCACCACATCGTGCGGGTGCTTCGTTTCACCTGTCTCTCTAGCTGTAGTATTCTTTCTTTGATAAGCTTACACGTAGTTGATAAACAATTTTCACTCGTCTATCGCTTCAACGTCTTGGTCTTCAAGAATCCGAGTCGATAGTCCGAGTCTAGCTGGAGTAGCGGTTTCACACTCGTGCAACGACTGCTAATCTCGGGTTTGTCGCGGATTGGACGATACCTGATTCTCAGCCTTCGTAAACTTGCCGGTTTTTTGATAACTTGTATAATGCTGAGATGTTTGCAAGACCCCGGACCGCAGGTGTCTGCGGTGGGGAACGCACGCGCTATTGTCCTTTCCGCTATTTCCTTTCCGGTTCCGCGTTCACCACCACACCAAGCTGGTCGTTCGTTTCGCTGTCCTCTCAGATAGTTCTATCGATCACTGCCATCGGAAGTCACCTGTCAACGGGTTTGATCTGGGAAGCCCAAATTGGCATTGAACCTTGTTAAGCTGAGGCTATATTTTTAATCACAATATTAACCTTTTTATTTACTGCCAATTCTTTTTAATGGCAGGTTATGTTGCGAAATATCTCAGCATTATACGAGTTGAATTCCACATACTTGTTCTTCTCATTCAATTCACGACATATGAACGGATTACCCGTAACTGTTTTTGTTTTCGTTTGTTTACCGCACTCTTAAGCTCAAAAAAGAATCAATATCTCAGCATTATACGAGTTATATTTCGCAACATACCCTGCCATTAAGAAGAATAGGCAGTAAATAAAAAGGTTAATATTGTGATTATGACTATAGCCTCAGCATAACTGGGTTCAATGCCAATTTGGGCTCCCCAGATCAATCCCGTTGACGGGTGATTGCCGATGGCAGTGATCGATAGAACTAGCTGAGAGGAAAGCGAAACGCACGACCCGCATGGTGTGGTGGTGAACGCGTTACTCACCGGAAAAGACAATAGCGCGTTCATTTCCCACCGCAGACACCTGCGGTCCGGAGTTTTGCAAATATCTCAGCATCATTGAAATTATATTTCACATTGCCCAATCACCAGTAAAGCGTCGGTACAGCACAGAATTATCAAAAACCTTCGATATTATACGATGTGGTCTCTTACTTTATGGTATTTGCCAATGGAAGTTCCTCGCTGCTCCAAATGCTGACGGAAGAACGTTAGAAGAGAAGAAGCAAACGTTACTTCCGAAATTTCAAGCCACTCTATATAGTCATCGTCATTTCAGACCATCAGAAACATTTTTTACTTCCGAGATTTCCGTTATTTCCGAGAAGTTTGGTTGTTGGCCGGCTCCCAACCATTACCGTGCCCTTTTCAGTAATTTACTACTGCTGCTGGTACTGCTATACATGAGATCGGCCATGATCTTGGCTTCTTCCACACAATAGCGCGATATAACCGGGGAAGGCATATTGATATAATCGAGAAGAACCTCGACGTAGGTCGCTTTGAAAACTCTAATGAGGTCTTTGAGAACACTCGTTCTATTGGTTCAGCCGCGTGTCATCACGAATTTCATGATAGTGGGCAAGAATTACGCCGATGTCTTCGGCCTCACATATGATTACGACAGCATCATGCACTACAGCGAGATTAGGTTTGCACCACATGATTGAGTCTTCTTCTTACGCATTTGGCTACTTCCACTTTTACTTTCCGTGACTCTATTAACGGTCTGCCTACCATTGCATTGCAAAAGAGCCGAATTATCAGAACACGATGGGATCAGCAATAATTTCTTTCTCCGATATTTACATGATCAACGAACACTACGGATGCAATGGTGCGAGTTAAGATCTCATCAAAGCGAAGCTCATTGGTGAAGAAAAAGTTTAATTCTTTAGCGCGATGTAAAAACATGTCATCGGCCAAATGCGAGAATGAAGGATATCCTCACCCTCAAAATTGCTCTATATGTAGTTGTCCGAGTGGCTGCGGTGGTGCTCTGTGTGATCGGAGAGTGAGGAATTTTTCATAAACATAAACTCAACACAATAACTGAATCCGTTCCAACCACACGGATGTGGAAAAGATCTGGTGGCTGCAAATAGAAAACGAACGCTTGTCTACAGACTGGGTTTTGGATCCGCTTTAAGGAATCAGTTCAACTTTTGTAATTACGTGATTTCGGTGCTGCTATATAAACCAGTGCTGTTATAAGAGGTGTGATGTAAGCGACTTAAGGCCCCTAAATGGAAGAAAATCGTAGTGGAAGTCCACTCCATCTCCCATGGCTCTGACCAACCTGGATGTCCTAAAGGAGTCGATATTAAAGCCCAAAAGGATCAAAAGCGAACGGGTTACCGGTGAGAGTAACAACCGAAGATTAAACAGCTCCTAGCAGATTTCGGTCTTGTTTTGCTTAGTTTTTGCTCGGCGAGTGGCACTATAGAGAACATTCTTTACGAATATTGCAATGTTCTCTATGTAAATCAATTACAACCTTATGTCAAACATTTCAAATACTGCTTCCGGTAAACTTTTCTCCATGACGATCTGATAACCTTATGTCAAACATTTTCGAATACGGCTTCCGGTGACCTTATGACGATCCGATAACCACATGGCTAACATTTCGTTGGCGGTTATCCCATGAAAAACATCTGCAGTTACAGTCCTATGCTTTGACTATCGCCTTATCAGATTGCAACGCTTGTGAAATGTTTCCGGCAGCTGTCCTTCCGCATACTGTAGCCTGACTCCACCTACTGTAACGCGACTCCGCCTATTGTGGCCTGACTCCGCCCAACCCAAAGGGTATATAAACGGCTCCACGGCTGACTAGCTCAGGTCACAGCAATGCTGCCCAAATCACCATATCCTTTCCTCACACCGATCTCATGTGGTTGAAGTCTTATGACAACCTCTTCACTCTTGAGCAACCTGAACACAAGAAATAAGGCTGCGCCTATTCATTACTTGTATCATTGTCGTATTAATTGTACAGTTGTATTGTTATGCCATAATTGTTGTATAATTATGATAAACGGTTTAATTACCCAAGTTTGAGGTTTCCGGCGTTGTGACTGCTACTTACAAGAAGTCCCGCGTGGCATACACAAAGGCGAGCAGCAAATTGCGACCTAATCATCTTAACTACTTGGTATTCCTATATAATCTAGCCGTCCCANGGTCAAGGAAGTTACAACCAAGTACGTTAATTCTTCAATCATGTCCAACCTATCACTGGCAAGTCACAAACGGATACTCACGCGGTATACTAACCAATTGCAAAAAGTTCTAACCCGATTCAAAGATACGCAGTTAGAAGAAATCAGTGTTCAAAACCTGCAAGATGAGATAACGCCCACCGTTATTCAAACAAGCCTACAGCAGTTAGAGGAAGCAGTGGCAGCGTTAGAAAACATGACCACAAAGATTCAACACGCACTAGATGAACTCGCTACCATGTTCGAAAAGTCACACCCAACGTCACCGAATATTGAAGAAGAGTTCGCACAGTACTCAACTACTGCTGAAGAAGCCATTGGCAATACTTTCGAATACCTTGTACTCCTTCATGCTCGGATCCATGGCTTCAAGGCTCATGTTGAGCTTCTCAACACATCCCACCAACACTCCACTACGAAGAGTAGTAAAGATGAATCCACCGTCACAGCAGTGAAAAATCTGGAGCTACCCACAATCCCAATCCCAACATTCAATGGCGACATCTGGGACTGGGATAACTTTTGGGAGCTTTTCAATTTAAACGTACATTCACAAAATCTTTCAGAGCTACAAAAATTCAATTACCTACTTAACTCCTTAAAAGGGGAACCTCTACAATCGATGAAGAAGTTCCAACTCACTAGGCAAAACTACTTAAAAGCCATAGAATTCCTCACTAATAAGTACGGTAATCCTGAAGAACTCATTCGCCAGCTCCTCAGAAAGATGGACAAAATCTCCCTTCACTCGTCGTCCATACACGAGCAACGCAGACTACTGGAAGACATAGAAGCCATCATAGGCCAATTAGTGCAAAAAGGTGAAAATGTCGACAATCAGTCCATGTATCAAAAGGTTCTTTCGAAATTTCCAGTCGGGATCCAACGTAAAGTTATTCACAAAAAGATCACTTCTCCCGACGAACCCTTCACCATGCAGCAGCTTCTAAAATATTTTGAAGTGGTTATAACCAGCGAGGAACAGGTATGTCGCCAGACCAGCGCAACCAACACCTCCTCGAGATACAGTTAGCTTCGACAACAAAGTCAAACACTGGAAGCCGCCGACAACAAGGCTCCTGTGCATGTATTGTAAAGGCGACCATAAGCCTTTCCATTGCAGTAAATACGAAACACCTCAAAGAAGATACCAGTACCTTCAAAATGATAAGCCATGCAATATTTGCGCTTCTCCATCCCACAGCACAATTCAGTGCAACGGGTCGTCATGTCGCAAATGCCAGAAACGTCACCACACATCATGCTGTCTCTTTCCGACACCAAGCGAGAAAACGTTCGTGCCACCTACGAAGAATGCGAACGCCAGAAACGAGGCCAACGCCAGTAAACACAAAGAGAAAGAGCTTAAAAAACCGACTTCTACGCCCAAAATAAACCACGTCGGACAAGAGACACCGGCCAAAGACAAAAGTTTCACGAAATCTAGCACAAAACTGCAGTCAACTTTCCTACCCACAGGGGAATTGACTATAATGAACCCAACCACAAAACAATTAGAGAAAGTTTCCGTCTTACGGGAGCTGAGTTATCCTTTATCGAAGAAAATCATGCACAAAAGCTAGGTCTACCGACGATAGAAGAAATTAAACTTCGGCTAAACACATTCGGCTCATGCAATGTGCAGGAACGCGTTTCACGAAAGGTCCCATTACAGGTATGAGACGCGGACGGCCATCAAATATCGTTATTCTTGTTCACACATAACGCGATAACGAAGCCTTTTAAACCACCGCCAATTTGTCCAGAAGACATAGACTTCATAGTAAAACACAACCTCCAAATTGAGATAAGTAAAACAAGGCCCGTGGTCCAACCTGCCATTCTACTCGGATGCGACCAACTGTGGACTCTNTGACTATAATGAACCCAACCACAAAACAATTAGAGAAAGTTTCCGTCTTACTGGACACGGGAGCTGAGTTATCCTTTATCGACGAAAATCTTGCACAAAAGCTAGGTCTACCGACGATAGAAGAAATTAAACTGCGGCTAAACACATTCGGCTCATGCAATGTACAAGAACGCGTTTCACGAAAGGTCCCATTACAGGTATGGGACGCGGACGGCCATCAAATATCGTTATTCTTGTTCACACATAACGCGATAACGAAGCCTTTTAAACCACCGCCAATTTGTCTAGAAAACATAGACTTCATAGTAAAAGACAACCTCCAAATTGAGATAAGTAAAACAAGGCCCGTGGTCCAACCTGCCATTCTACTCGGATGCGACCAACTGTGGACTCTGATGAAAAACGAGAAACCGCACATTGAACTACCATCCGGGTTACATCTTATCCCAACGCGTCTAGGTCATTTATGTACAGGACAACTAAAAAATCCACCTGCGCTACAAAAAGAAAATGATAACGTTTTATTACAAGTACAACACAGCGAAGAAGGAAACACATTGCCCATACAGGATTTCACGGATGAACTAGACAAATGGGATCAATACTGGGCACTATACGTGCAAGTCGATGAAGAGGAAATGAATAAGTGCAATCAGCATCGGACGCTAGAATGTCAAGTCCATGCTTGCCTTACTGAAGATTCAGAGACGGATGAGAACGAAGCAGTCAAATGGGAACAATTTTAGACCCTCGAATCTGCCGGAACAGAAGAATTCACAAACCCCGCAAAAATGGAAAAAGCACTGACAGATCAGCATGTATGGGAAACCTTCAACAAAACCATTGAAAAAAGATTAGACGGATATTACGTTCGTCTACCTTGGAAAGACATACAGCTATCACTACCTGATAATAGAGCAATTGCACTCAATAGACTCATAAGTGTTTGGAAATCCCTACAAAACAACAAGGATTTGCTCGACAGGTACGATGGCATATTCGAAGAACAGCTCAGCCTGCACATCCTGGAAGAAATCAACGAACAGGAAACGCCACAAAACTCCCGAGTTCATTACATTCCTCACTAAGCAGTCTTAACTCCCAATAAAAATACCACTAAGATCAGAATAGTTTTTGATGCATCTATGGTGGGACGGCTAGATTATATAGGAATACCAAGTAGTTAAGATGATTAGGTCGCAATTTGCTGCTCGCCTTTGTGTATGCCACGCGGGACTTCTTGTAAGTAGCAGTCACAATGCCGGAAACCTCAAACTTGGGTAATTAAACCGTTTATCATAATTATACAACAATTATGGGGTAACAATACAACTGTACAATTAATGATACAACAATGATACAAGTAATGAATAGGCGCAGCCTGATTTCTTGTGTTCAGGTTGCTCAAGAGTGAAGTGGTTGTCATATGACTTCGACCACATGAGATCGATGTGAGGAAAGGATATGATGATTTGGACAGCATTGCTGTGACCTGAGTTAGTCAACCGTGGAGCCGTTTATATACCCTTTGGGTTGGGCGGAGTCAGGCCACAATAGGCGGAGTCGCGTTACAGTAGGTGGAGTCAGGCTACAGTATGCGGAAGGACAGCTGCCGGAAACATTTCACAAGCGTTGCAATCTGATAAGGCGATAGTCAAAGCATAGGACTGTAACTGCAGATGTTTTTCATGGGATAACCGCCAACGAAATGTTAGCCATGTGGTTATCGGATCGTCATAAGGTCACCGGAAGCCGTATTCGAAAATGTTTGACATAAGGTTATCAGATCGTCATGGAGAAAAGGTCACCGGAAGCAGTATTTGAAATGTTTGACATACGGTTGTAATTGATTTACATAGAGAACATTCCAATATTCGTAAAGAATGTTCTCTATAGCATCAGCACACTACAAGGGATGCCCATCACTCAACGACGTATTACACAGAGGACCAGTAATCCTCTCACAATTGTTTGGAATCCTCCTTCGCTTCAGAATAGGACGAATCGCGATTACATCAGACGTTGAGAAGACCTTTGTTCAAGTCCGACTCCATGAGGATGATCGCGATGCCACACGATGCCTTTGGCTACATGATTACAGGCTACCACCATTTCCGAACAACATTAAAACCTTACGATTCACCAGAGTTATTTTCGGATTAAATACATCACCATTTCTTTTGGCCGGAACAATACATTTTCATCTTGATCAATATAAAGAAGAAGCAGAATTAGTAACGCAACTTAAAGACAACTTATACGTGGACAACCTTGTCGTAACCCTCGATGACCCCGAAGAAGCATTTCAGAGCTACCTACGCACAAAACAAATATTCAATGACCTCAACATGAATTTACGCAGATTCGCTTCCAATAATATTGACCTAATGGCAAAAATACCCTCTGATGATAAAGCGGACACCCAATTAGCGAAAGTAGTGAGAATACCGTGGAACACCGACTCCGACTGTCTGCTGATAACGTGCATGACAAGAGCAAATCAACGTATCACCAAGCGAACGGTAGCTAGCACATTAGCTTCGGTATACGACCCTATGGGCTTTCTATCACCTTTACTCCATAAAACAAAGGTATTCCTACGCAGCCTATGGAAAGACGAGTACAACTGGGACCATATTCTACCAGATGCCCGCAAGAACGAATGGTTAGCCATATGCACGGAAATGCAAGGTTTCACGAAGCCTCTACCACGTTGTCTTGGAACAAAAAATACAAAATACATTTTGTTCGCACTTTTTCTGAGCAAACGCGAGGTGTTATTATTCTTTGTTCACGATTAAGCTGACGTTTCGGCGAATTTCGCCTTCTTCAGAGCCTGGAAAGGTCAAGTTGATAGCAACTCACTCGGCCAGACGCCTCCATAACCAAACAAAGAAACTCCAAACCAAGATTTCAATCACTTTGAACACAGCTTTGCACACTCACCGCTTTCTATGAGGTCTCCACTATGTATGTCACGTAGAGACCAACCGCACAGAAATCACGTGGAAGTATAATGTGCCCCTCACATCAGAAAAGCAGTTTTATATACTGCCCTATATCACGCGTGATAATGAGGCATTCTTCCCTGTCGTGGCAGTTACAAAATACATTCTAGTAACCTTCGCCGACGCCAGCGTCGAAGCTCTGGCCACCTGCATTTATCTACGCTCCGAAAATTCAACCAATCTTCTCATGGCAAAAAGCAAACTGCCGTCCTTATAATCTACATCAACAGTTCCAAAAATGGAGCTGGATGCGGTAACCATAGCTATGCGATTAACCAACGCCGTACTGACTCAACTTTGAAAAACCTTAGAAATCCAAGAAATTTTCATCCTTTCGGACTCGCAGATCGTACTTAGCTGGATAAAGCGCAAACAACTAAAGAACGTTGGACTCAGAATATTCAACAGACTACTGGAAATCGAGAGGGTCGTCGACCATACACAAATGAACGGTTATCGCATACTTTTCGGTCACGTCCCATCGCGTTATAACGCAGCGGACTGTGCAACCCGTGGTCTTAGCCAGAAGGAATTGCTCGACCACTTCTGGTGGGTCGGACCACCCTTTCTGCAGGAACCACCAGACAATTGGGAAATCATTTGCAACACCTTCAAGCATAACGAAGATTCTTTGGAAAAGGACCCAAAACTTCAAAATAATCCAATATGCACGATATCCCAGGAATTTCCTCACGAAGAACAGAAACTGTTTCTCGCAAGGCACAATCACTCAGACAAGCAGAACGGAAACGATATCTTTACCCCATTGGGAAAACACTTCCTGAAAAATGTTAAAAGAATCGTAGCAGTAATTATACGCTTCATTCAAATCTCAGTTGCCAAGGTGAACATTCGTAGACAACACCGTATCAAACTCTCCACACTTCCAAGTACCACGGAGGCTAACCTGGATCCGATTACTATAGCTGGAAAAGTACTGGTCAGACAGCATCAGTCGTCAACAGTAACCACGTCTATGCTCCAGACTATGAAGAATCTCAACGTCAAACCAGACAAAGAAGGTTTGCTCCGATGTTTTGGACGACTACAAAACAGCGATCTAAGCAAAGATGCCAAAAACCCTTTGCTCGAATTTCAGAATACTTGGTTTGCACAAGCAATCAGAGGATTGTCACAAAAAAGGACACCCAGGCGTTAGCCACACAATGTCAATCGTACGAGAACAATTCTGGATCCCCAAACTGCGTGCACAAGTAACGCGAATCCTCAGAAGATGCGTACCATGTCAACGCTTCAACAACCTACCATACAAATATCCAGAAAAGAGCGACTTACCTAAGCATAGAGTTCACAAATCACGACCTTTCAAGCACATTGGTCTCGACTATTTTGGTCCAATAACAATTATTCAATCGGATTCCACCGAAGGTAAATGTTATGGAGCAATAATAACGTGTATGGTGACGAGACTAATACATCTTGACATCGTCTCCGACCTCACAACTACCTCATTCCTCATGTTCCTACGCCGATTCTTCGCCAGACGTGGAACGCCCGCATCAATTACAAGTGACAACGCTCCAACATTTGTACTAGCGGAAACTATCCTCAATGAAAGTCTCAAATCCATGCAAAACGATCCAGAAGTAAAACGTACAATTGTGAACCATGAAATACAGTGGAAATATATTACCCCATTCGCCCCTTGGCAAGGGGGCTTTTACGAAAGACTCATCAAATCAG